TTACACCCACAAGGCTCTCAAAGGGAGGAAGAAGTAAGACATGATTTTGCTAATGATTATATAAAATATGTTAATATTAAAAATAATTTTCTTGTGTAGCAAAAAAACAAATATTTCAACAGTGTTTGTTGTACATTGCTTTCTGGTTAAGACATGCAGTTAACAGAAAATTATATATTCTTGCAGAACAGTTGTAGAGACCATTGTGAGGAGCCAGTGGTGGGAGGCGGGCTTTGGTGTGGTGAAGAAACACGAGGATGTTCCCTGTACCAACTTCAGGGAACTTATCAAATTGTACCCATTTCTTGCTCAGGTGGTGATGGACCACTGCACATCAGTAACCGAGAAATGTACTCTGTATGATTTCAGACTACTTGAGGACAACTATTGCATCAAGGAAGGTAATAGAAATGTATTAGCAACTCAATATAGGCACACACTCTCAGAAGCATTATGTTTAATATTCCTTTATGCTATTTTGTTGTTTTGTTAATGCATTTATGGACAGTAAAGGTATCCCTGATTTAAACTTTACCTTTATCCTCTTCACCACTGATTGGCTCGTTTGCCACTTGGGTAATCGGTCACGTCTCTGATTACTTTTCCTTTTCTTTTATCCTCTTCACCAAATGATGGGCTCGTTAGCCGCTTGGGCGATTGGTCACGTCTCTATTACACACTGTTGGCAAGTACTGGGCATGCACCGGCTCCTGAATGTACCTGAACCTGCTCCAGTGTTGGTCAAGTTTTGTCTTGAAAGAGCTCAAACTCGGTGCCGTCACAACACTTTCTGGTAGATTGTTCCAAGAGTTCACAACTCTCACTCTGAAAAAGTTTGCCCTCACAGTTTTCTGGACTGTTTTTATTGATGTGGTGAATGTTGTCTAATTGTGTTTTATGTATATTATTATTGTAGGAATTTTATTTTTGGTGATCCATGTGATAGGCTATTGGACTGGTTGGGAATGTATCCCATTGAAGCCCATGTTAAAATGATCCTGATTACAATATTTTGACCTGCAATGGGTTTTTCAAAAAAGTAACCCCATCATAAATAGGGGGATACCAGTATACTATCCAGGAATACATATGTATAGAGGAAAGTCATTCACATGTGGTTAGATGGAAGTATGTCTGAGTATCAAAGTTCAAGGAAAAATCATACTGTAAGTTACTTGGGAACATTACAGCAGAGGTAAGACGAATGTTGTGTTGAGGTATTACTGCATAGATATTGAAACACGTACTGTATAAAAATATATCTACCTGTAATTAATCCCAGAGTAAGCATAAGAGAAACCTAGAGGTAAGGTTAGAAGATTTCTTTGTGGAAGGTAAGGAAGGTTTGTTAAGTTATCTTCAGCTCACAAGACAGTCAGTCTGTTTTATGTTATGCACTGTTGGCAAGCAATGGGCATGTAAGGGCTCTTGTTAAATATGAAATGAATCATGACCCCCAAAACTAGAAAGTTTGCAAAGAGCAGCATCATGTATAGAAAAAAATGGCATGCTAGATATTGACTGACTGAAATAGAGTACAGAATTATAATGCTAATGAGATTTTTTTTTTTTTACAGACAAAAACATTTTACGATCCTCTGTAAAAAGCCCATTCAACCAACAGACCTGGGAAGTACTGCCTGCTGCCAAAGAACTAACATCTAAGGTGTTGGTATGGAAGAAGGAACATCCAGTGAGCATTATGGCACATCATAGATGTTTAGGCCTCCTTCAACACCCACTAACAGAGGCATGGATCAGTTTTAAGTGGAAGTCATACGCCAGATGGATATTTGCAGGGCTATTGGTACTACGGCTCTTTGCAGTTGGTGTCCTCATTGGCTTTATGGCAACAATTCAGTAAGTTATTTAGGATTATTGTTTGCACGAGTACACTATATTAGTCACATATTTACCTGATCTAATAATAATATTAATGATGATCCAGCTGAATATGAGAACTCATTGAGGTGGTGGTGCTATATGACATACTGTACTGTACCTGAGGATGGATATAGTACACTACTTCAAATTGAAAACTGAAACCATAAAATAATGTCAATGTCTTTTTAATTCCACTACCTGTAGCTTTTATTGGGAGATGAGTTTTGTTGTTGAAGATAAATTCAAAAGTATAGAACTGACTGCTGATTGTGACAGGGATAGTAAGGTACTGTACAATTACTATTGAGATATTTCCAGCAAAAACAGCAAGTTTATTTAGGGAGAAACAGTGTGGGTTTAGAAAAGGAAAACAAGAAGTATTTCCTTATGTTCGTTCTGCATGCTAACTTGGTAAGCTCGCAGTTATGTCCTCTAGTGTTGGTGGTGCGTGTCATCACAAACAAATGGCCCGGGTTCACTTTTTCCATCCCCTTCAGGATTTTCAATGAGATCTACCCTATTGTGCCTTGTCTGAAGGATTGTTAGTCATATGGCCCTCAGTTTTAGTGGCCTTTTGGAATTTTTAATAATATATGTCAAGTGCATATTTTTTTCTTTTACAGTTCAATGTCATTTGGCACATAATGCCTCCAGGACTTTGCCAAAATATTATTTGACATATTCATAGGCATAATTCTTTATATAAAATGTGATCACTGTATTTGTGTACAGTACTGGTGTCTGCCCTTCACTTATATGCTCAGCCAGTGTTCTGATGAGCATGGATCATTGTGTTAACATAAAATAAAACTTTCTTGACCTATGTACAACTCTAATGAAAACATGTGTGTATTGATAAGGGGAGAATTAAAGTGCACGAATTCATTCTTTTCAGTAATTGGGAGCAAGTCAAAAAGTATTCCAATAAATCAAAAGAAGTATTTTGTGGAGTTCTAGAAACTTCTCATGATACTGTTAATGCAGCAGAAGAAATGATGACGCCCGAGTTCACGGGAAGACTCCAGTGGAACTCAACTGTGTATTATACATGGCACGTCCTCCTGCTTGTTTCACTCATTCTTCAGGTCACACTGGAGGTTATGAGTACAAAGAAGGTAATTTATAATCCAATATATTTATGTACAGTAGACCCTCGCCAACAGCGGATGTCCCATCCATGGATTCTGGGTATCCACGGTTTTTACTCTAACAGTACTGTATACCATTTCACCAAATGTGGCATTGAATTTTAAGTTTCTGCAAATTAGTGTGCTATCTTTATCCTTCTGTGGTCTAATGTATTCCTTCATAAATGTGAGGAATGAATAAAAATAATACTATTACAGTAATTAAAAGAAAAAAAAAAAAATTATTGACATTTGGGAATCATTTTACCAAGGACATGGGAGACAGGAGCGCACCGCCCCTTCCCATAATCCTGGGCTAACTCCTGCGGATGTAAGAAATGTTTACAGTATTCTCTTTTGGACCTATGATAATTTATTATTTTTTTATTTATTTTTTTGCACATTTTGTATGAACAATTGTGTTTGCATGTAACAAGAGTAAAATAAATTTAAGAAAATTACGTATATACCCTGTATATACACAAATAGGAGTTGAAATATCACTTCACACACATACATACCTATACTCTTCATTTTCCTTATTTTATAGCAACATGCCATCTCCACAGAGATGTACTGTGAGTATTTCATTTAAATTTGCAAGCCATACCAAATACAGTTCGAACAAGCGGTTTGTCCATCAAACCTAACCCTCTATTTCTCATAAGCCTTTAGTATTTCCCATAAGCCTTTAGTCTTGCCTATCATAGATTTATCAGCCATGGGGTTTTTCAAAAACCTAACCCCAGTGCTTGGTGAGGGACTACTGTATAACTACGTAATGTAGAATTCTGTATGGCTGGTTTGGGATGTAAGTCTTTACTTTATCCCACTGGCCACTTGTCAGCTTCAGATTCTATGATGCAAGAGGATATACCTTGTTATAGTATGGAACAGTATCACATCTCCTTTAAGTGCAGACTTGATCAACACTGAAACATGATCGAATACATTCAAGACCCCATACATGGCCAGTACTTGCCATCAGTGTGTAACAGAGAATAGACCGGCTGCCTGATCATCTAGTGAGCTAGCAAGTAAAGACAAAGATGATAAAGTAAAAGTAAAGAGTGTGTCTGTATTTAATAACTCTGTAATAAAAAGGCATCGGTATTATTAGTACTCAATAACAGGTGAAGGGATATTAATAAGTAGTGACAGAAGCAGCAGAAAGACAGGTGGCAATGTCTACACAAATGAAATAAACCAATTGAGAGAATGAGAAGTGTAAGGTTAGTGAAGAGTAGGATTAATTTAATATAATGGTTAGTTGGAGAAAAAGGAGGAAGGCCAAGAAAGAATATGGAAGGGTAGATAAAAGGTGGCAGTACATTACAGGGGAATGAACTTAGGAAGCATAATTGGTGTTGTGTGTTTGTGGAGATGGATATGTGGGGTGTAGTCTAAAGTTGAGGCATCTTGGTATACCATGAGGGGGTAGTATAATAATAGTATCAATAAGGTTTTGTATTAATAACTGATTGATTGATTTGGGTAATAACATCCCTGGTGACGCGAGAGCTTAGGTCATATGCCGCCAAATTAGTCTAACAGCTTAGAAGGCTAAAAACAAATAATGTAAGGTAAAAAACAAATACTGTAATATATAGCATAAAACTTTCACAAAACCCATTAAAATATTAATAGTGTATTAATAATAGTAGTGTACCAATATTTTGACAGCTGCAGTGGGACTATGTTGACAGTACCTTCATCTTCGTGCGGATCCCTTCCTTGGTGTTGACTACTATAGTGTGCATTCCCTCCTGCAAGTGTGGTTTCCAGCTGGGCATCAAAATGGTGAGACAGTTTCCCTTTGCTGTTTTTTCATTTAATGTTCTAGATCAGCAACCTGCATTAAAAGACCATGGGAAGGTTAGCTGCTGCATTCCTCTTTACAAACAACTTTAAAACAAATATGCTTCACATAACACTGGATAGACCAACCGCCCAAATGGCTTGTACTGTGATCTGGTAAGTGGTGAAAATTATTTTTAAAAAATCCACTGTTTTTACTATTTTTTGTGAAGACCTAGAGAAGGATACAGACAAGGCATTGAATGATAGGTGGGGTGAAGATAGCACTACAGGACGGTGCTACTGCTGGTGAGGAGGGTAATTTTGACACATTTAAAGTTAGGTTGCAAGTACTGTATAATCATTAAAAGATTTTGAGAACTCACAAATTTTATTTGAATAACGGACATGTTTTTATCAATAAGTGACCATTATAAACTTGCAACCTTACCTAACCTGCACAAAAATAACTAAAATATAAATCAGAACTACAGCCTCGGGCTCGTCAGGTTTTGTGCAGTGTGGCAACCCTGTGTTTGTTGCAATTGACAGGAGATATCAACAATGAAATTTTTAACCACACCCTGCAAAATACAGTGTACTTAGCAAATGCTGCAGCTTCTGAGAATGTGGGTGGAGCGGGTTTATTACTAAGAGCAGAGACGTTACCGAGAACAAATTCTGGCTTGAATGTCATGTACACTAATACCGACACGTTCCTGGATAAGAGGGAGGAGTTTGAAACACTACTAAGAGTACACCAACCAGATAATGTAGGAGTTGTAGAACTGTTGTACAAGAACAGGAGAATCGACCCAGAGGAATGCGAGTTCAGTATTGCTGGATATGACTCATTTACGAACCTAACTCAAGAATCCTGCAGGAGGGGTGTGGTTATCTACGCTAGGCAAGACCTTAGAGCCAGCCAGGCGAGGGTACAGGGAGAGGATGTCTTTGAAGAGTCCAAGTGGTGTAAAATTAAATTAAAGGGAGGGGACTTACTTATCGTCGGGTGTATCTACAGATCCCGAACTGTGGCCCACTAAATCAAAGGAACTTAAGAACCTTAATAAACAATGCGGCGATGCTCAACCCCAGCCACCTCCTTATCATGGGGGACTTTAACTATGGCGACATCGACACGGAGAGGCAATTATTTAGAATGACGAGATAATCCTGCCACTCTTTTGGCGAAACTCAGAATAATTTTTTACGGGCCAACATGTGAGGGCCAGGCACATTGCAGAGGAACAAACTTACCCAAATATGACCTCATCATAACAAACGAGGAGGGTATGGTGGCCAAACTGGAACACCTTGCCCCAGTTGGCACCAGTCACCATACAGTGTTGTCATTCAGATTTAACTGTTACCTAGTTCAAGATAAGGCCAGGCCAAGGTGCAAATATTACAAAGGAAATTACAATGGGATGAGGGAAGAGATGAGGGGTATCAACTGGCCTGACTTATTAAGGTACAAGAACGCAGACTCTACGCTGAATATCATAACTAGTAAAATGACCCATTTGATCGATAAATATATACCCAAGACCAAACCCAGTGCTTCTAGGAATACGAGGGGATCCCTACACATGAACCATGCGGCGGTCGACAAAATTAAGAAGAAAGCCCAGAAATTCAAGACGTGGGTTGGGTCAAACGATGAGCAAGACAGGAGGATGTATGCAAGAGCCAGAAACCAAGCAAAGATAGAGTGTAGGAGGGCTGAAAAAGAGTTCCAAAGGCTGGTTGCACGCGAGGTCAAGTCAAACCCAAAGGCGTTTTACCGCTATGCAAAGTCGAAATTGAAAACCTGAGGCTTGAAGATGGTAGTTACGCAGATTCTGACCAGGATAAAGCTGAGGCATTGAACAGCTTCTTTTCCTCAGTGTTCACAAGAGAGGATGCAACTAACCTTCCTGCGTTTGAGGACAGACGGTTCGACACAGCACTGACCCACATTGTGTTCACAGAAGAGGGTATTAGAAATAACCTGTCCAGGCTAAAGGTCCATAAGAGTCCTGGACCTGACATGGTGCATCCTAGAGTGCTAAGGGAGCTGTGCAACGAGCTTGCAGAGCCCCTGAAGATTCTGTTTTGTAAATGCCTGGATGAACAAATGGTCCCCAGTGAATGGAAAGTGGCTTATGTGAGTCCTATCTTCAAGAAGGGCGATAGGCACTCCACGAACAACTATAGACCAGTGAGCCTGACCAGCATAATATGTAAAGTACTTGAGAGTATTATCAGAGATGCAGCGATGGAACATCTACTACGAAACAACCTTGTAAAAGATTGCCAACACGGTTTTATGCCGGGGCGCTCTTGCTTGACACAATTACTCAAGGTATTTGATATTTGGACCCATATTCTAGAACGGGGTGGTAATATCGACAATATTTACCTAGATTTTGCCAAGGCTTTCGACAGTGTACCCCACGAAAGGCTGAAAATCAAACTGGAAGGGTACGGAATTCGGGGAAATGTCCTAGCGTGGATAAAAGACTTTCTACATGACCGCAAGCAATGTGTGGTGATTAATGGCACGAAATCGTCATCTGTACCTGTAACAAGTGGGGTACCACAGGGTAGTGTATTGGGCCCGCTGTTGTTTGTTTGTTTCATAAATGATATGCCTGACGTTGTACACTCCTCCATACAAATGTTTGCCGATGACGCCAAGTTATTTCGGGAAATTAAGAACCAAGCGGACTGTGAAGAGCTGCAGAAGGACCTCTGTGGGCTCCAGGAATGGTCGAAGGAATGGCTGCTGAGATTCAATGTCACGAAGTGTAGAGGATGCACCTGGGGCGTACCAACGGTAAGGAGGCGTATCATATGTCCCAACGGGATGAAGAAAATGTACTAGTTGAGACTGTGTGTGAGAAGGACCTAGGTGTGTATGTTGACAATGAGCTGAAGTTCTCGGGCCATTGTGAGAAAAAGGTAAATCAGGCAAATAAATTATTGGGTCTTATAAGAAGGTCGTTCAGATATCTAGACGGTCCGTCCCTCGTGACGATCTTCAGGAGTGAAGTGCTTCCCCATCTGGAGTACTGTCACCCCATCTGGTCCCCGAGATATGCTAGGGACTGTCAGTTGGTTGAAAATGTTCAAAGGAGGGCCACCAAGCTGGTGCCTGCACTTCGGCATCTCAGCTACCCTGCGAGATTGGAGCGCCTGAACTTGCCTAGCTTATACTACAGACGGGCAAGGGGGGACCTAGTTGAGGTTTATAAGCATCTCAGGGGGCACTACTCAGTGGAGTGTCCTTACTTGGAGCTGGCGGACGCTCGCCCCACAAGGGGTCACAGCTCAAGATTGAAGAAGCCGCAAGTCCGGAAAACCGTGAGGGCAAACTTTTTCGGAGTGAGGGTTGTAAACTCTTGGAACAATCTACCAGAGAGTGTTGTGACGGCACCGAGTGTGAGCTCTTTCAAGAGAAGACTTGACCAACACTGGAGCGGGTTCAGGTACATTCAGGAGCCGGTGCATGCCCAATATTTGCCAACAGTGCGTGACAGAGACGTGACCGATCGCCCGGGCGGCTAATGACGACCTTTGGTGAAGAATATAAAAAAGGAAAAAGGTCGTGACCGAATCCCTTAAAACTGACTAATAAACCGATCGGTGGCGAAAGGATAAAAAAGAAAAAAGAAAAATAGACGGTATTTATTAAAACTCCCCATTCGAACTAGGCTTATATGAACTGGAGCTTATTATAATTGTATATTAAAATTGGACCCTATGAGAACTAGAGGCTCATATAACTAGGGTCTTTTGGAGCTGAGGCCTATTAAAACTGGAGCCTATTAAAAGGGGAGCCTATTCGAACAAGGAACTATTAAGCTGGAGACTATTAGAAATGGGGTTCTCTTTGGACAGGAGCCTATTAAAGTGCCTGCTAGCATTTAAATCTATTAGAATCTATAAGAACTTCATAATAGATCTTCCTGTCATAACTATGCAGAAATTCCCAGATGTGTGACAATATCCATTCTATTAAAAAAGTGCTATTATTTGTTGTTGTTACTGACTTTATTAAAAAAAATAATAGTTACCCTCACATTATTAAAAGAAAATAATTTGATGTTTCTTTTATAGAAAACCTAAATTTTGAAATTAGTGGTTAACTTTAAAATATTGTTGGCAGTAAACTCGTCAAATGAATTTACAATGAATCAGCGTATATATAGAAATTAGAAATATACAGTATAAAAAGTTAGTGTAAGAATACATTATATTATGTTCAACGGATTGAATATCAGTAATAATATGAAGCAAACTGAAGTAAGATGATATGAAACTGATGGACATATTCAGTAAAATTGTCATGAAGGTTAGGTTACGTTACGTTAGGTTACGTTACGTTTGGTTAGGTTAGGTTAGGGTGGTCAATCTTAAGGTAATATAAGCTTCAAGTGATCCAAGAGGACTAATATTAACGTGGCTATACCAGTTAAGGGCTTAAGTACTGCTGGTGATTATTAAGATTCGGCTCTTAATGCTGGTGTTTATGGGCCCATCAGTACAGGGCCCATCAGTACAGCGCCCATAAGTACAGATGCCCATCAGTACAGGGGCCCATCAGTACAGGGGCCCATCAGTTCAGGGTCCATGAGTACAGGGGCCCATCAGTTCAGGGTCCATGAGTACAGGGACCCATTAGTACAGGGGCCAATCAGTACAGGGCCCATCAGTACAGCGTCCATAAGTACAGATGCCCATCAGTACATGGGCCCATCAGTACAGGGGCCATGAGTACAGGGGCCCATTAGTACAGGGGCCCATCAGTACAGGGGTTCATCAGTACAGGGTCCATTAGTACAGGGGTTCATCAGTACAGGGCGCATCAGTACAGAGACTCATCAGTACAGAGGCCCATCAGTACAGGGGCCCATCAATACAGGGCCCATCAGTACAGAAGCCCATCAGTACAGGTCCCATCAATACAGGGGTCCTTCAGTACAGGGCCCCATTAGTATAGAGGCCCATCAGTACAGAGGCCCATGGGTACAGGGGTCCATCAGTACAGGACCCATCAGTACAGGGGTCCATCAGTACAGGGCGCATCAGTACAAAGGCCCATCAGTACAGGGGCCCATCAGTACAGGGGCCCATTAGTACAGGGGCCCATCAGTTCAGGGTCCATGAGTACAGGGACCCATTAGTACAGGGGCCAATCAGTACAGGGCCCATCAGTACAGCGTCCATAAGTACAGATGCCCATCAGTACATGGGCCCATCAGTACAGGGGCCATGAGTACAGGGGCCCATTAGTACAGGGGCCCATCAGTACAGGGGTTCATCAGTACAGGGTCCATTAGTACAGGGGTTCATCAGTACAGGGCGCATCAGTACAGAGACTCATCAGTACAGAGGCCCATCAGTACAGGGGCCCATCAATACAGGGCCCATCAGTACAGAAGCCCATCAGTACAGGTCCCATCAATACAGGGGTCCTTCAGTACAGGGCCCCATTAGTATAGAGGCCCATCAGTACAGAGGCCCATGGG